TGCATTAGGGCTTAATTGCCTCTGCAGTAACCCTTCATTGGTTTTCTAATCATACTAAAAATTATTTGAAGACCATTAAAAATCAGAAGCTTCAGGATATGTGAAAAGAAGGAAGAGTAAGAAACTGGATTCTTCATTTGTAAAACATTTGGCTGGTTTTTAAGTAGATGTTACTGTAAATTTAATGATATGGCCTATGTATAAATGACCATTTTTATGATGGGCGTAGGTGGAGTCATGCAGTTGTAAATCAATCACATAGTTGAACGTGCCAATCCAGGTTAATCAATGGTAGTTTCTGCTAGAAACTGCCCTAAAAGTCTCAAATTGCAATTGCGTGACCACAAGATGATGCAACCTGTCATAAATGCGAGCCAGATGCCAACCACCTGAATTGCAATCATGTGACCATGGGGTGGGACAATGGTTGTAAGTTCGAATTTGGGTCATAACTGACTTTTTCTGAGGCCGTCATTAATTTGAACCATTGTTAAGCAAACAGTCATAGGTCAAGGACTACCTATATTAATTGCAACAAATCGCAATTATTTTATCACCAATTTCTTGCATACTATATGCCTTCAGACTACTTTCCCATTCTCATTATTTCCCTATCTTTTCTCGAAATCCTTTTTAGACCCACTCCAACTCAATGTTCAGTCTCTGCAATTCACAAAGTATGGACTTGAGCATTCTTGGTCCTATATTATTTTCTTTCTAGACATGTTAACATGGCAAATATCCTGGCTCAATAATACTTCAGTACTGATGTTATCTAGCTTTACTGATCCAACCTTCTTTTGAGAAGATCCAAGTGTGTGCATGTGTGTGTGTGTATATATATAAAAAGAGTAAAAACTTCGAACACTGGGATAAATATAAATATAAAAACAACTGTTTATTTAATAAAAACAACTGTTGGTTATACAAACATCTGTCTGCTACCTGAGCTTTCATTGGTCCCTTGCCAATGTCATCAGAGTAAAAGCTTGAAGCTTGAAGAGTCTGCTTATAAACCTAGTTGTTTTTGCGCTCTGCTCATTGAGCGCGTGATTGGCCCATCCACCCTAAATGACCGTAGTGCACAATGACTGACGAGAACCACGGGGAGGGGAGAACTGTGAGACGATCCAGCAAAAACGCCAACTCCAAGCAGCCAAGTGCGGGCGAGACGGGTGGAAGGGGCAGGGATGAGAGAAAAAGGGGTGCCAAGATTGGCATGCACACCTATGGACAAGACACAGCCATATAGAGCAAGGCTAACTGGGGCGGGCAAAGTGGAGCAGACAAGGAAGGGAGTAATGGGAGGAGAAAGGGCGGTAGGACCAAACCACATACAAAGGGGTGCGAGACATTCAGGGCAGTTACGGTCATTTAGGGCGGATGGGCCAATCATGCGGTCAATGAGCAGAGTGCAAAAACAACTAGGTTTATAAGCAGACTCTCCAAACTCTAAGCTTTTACTCTGATGACGTCGGCAGGGGACCGACGAAAGCTCAGGTAGCAGACAGATGTTTGTATAACAAACAGTTGTTTTTACTAAATAAACAGCTGTTTTTATATTTATATTTATCCCAGTGTTAGAAGTTTTTACTCTTAATATGAATGTGCCTGGGATTCACATTTTTAAGATAATATATATATAATTTAAACTTTTAGACAAGAATAATAAATATAAAGTAAGGAAGAAAAAACAAAAATAAAGAAATCAAGGAAAAAGCAAAAAGTGCAAGAAAAGAAAAAAGTTGAAAAAGAGAAAAAAAAAATATACAAAGTGGCTTCAAATATTCTTCACAGCAGTTACAAGTATAAATATAGTTTAATCTCTCTCTCTCTAAAGTTACATCATATTAATCTTCCTTCTATAAACTATCCTATCTCATCATCAAAACCATAAGTCACAAGTTCATTTTTTTCATGTTTACCCCAAAAAATCCGTAAGAGGCAACCAGTCACCAATAAATGTAAATAATGCCTTTTCTCTAACCAAAGAAGTCAATTTATCCATTTCAGCAAGATCTGTCAACTTCACCAACCATTCTTTCACAGTGGGTAGTCTCAAATCCACGCTTCTTTTCCTTCATCCAATACTGTACTGCCTGACTGTTTGACTGATTCTTTTGTTGAATGTTATATTGCCGTAACAAATTAAGACAACCAAGACTAAACCCTTACATTTCCTTCCAAGCCTTTATATTCAATTACTGTATCATATGTATCCTACTAACTGTATGTACAGCCTTAACTGTACCCATTTCCCCCCTCCCCCTTTAGTTTATTTATGGTAAATCTATATTTAAGATATGGAATTCTTTCTGCACAGTGCAGCAAAGATACGGTTCTTCTTCTCATTCTCTCCACAAAATTCTCATTCTCCCTCTGACCATCTCTCATGCTCATTACCATGTTCTCTTACTTTGATTGTCATATCTTATGTCTTTCATTTTTATTAACTTCCAAAGACACTCATCTGTAATTCTTGCACTAGCTTTTTCCTCTTCTAAACCAAGTTTTTATTGCATACAATGTAATATGTATACCAATGAATGAACAGCAGAATACTTGACTCATAAGCTTCTGTATTCCTTCTGTCAATTAATGAGCATTAGTGGTGTTCTGGGGAGAAAAAAACCCCCACCCCCAGCTGAAATTCGTACCTGGCTTTTGGAGAACGTGCCTAGAAAGTATATTGCCATTAAGATATATTCCTTTGCTTTCAGTGATATATAGTTTTGGTACGCTTTTATTGAATTTAGCCCAATCTTCACAGTGATATTATCATATGGAAAAGCTAAAATGTTCAGCTAGGAATACAGAGATTTTATTTTCACTACACTAGAAACAGTGTTGTGATTATGCTCCCAGAGCTGCATGAAATTTAGTCATAATCTAAAACAAAACTATGATCTAATTCCAATGAATTAACAGAAGAGAGCCTCGCGTTCCCTTGCACCTTTTGAAACCTATCTTTATGTGACATTTGAGGCTGTCTTGCTTTAGACATTTTGTCTCGCAGGAGAATTCAAAATATGATTTAACATAGAATAGATATAAAACTATGGTTTAAAGCCTCCACATTAAAATTCCAAAATGCTACATCAAAATGCTACATCAAAGTGAGAGGAAGAATTTCCAACTTCCTAAAACACAGTTTAAGAATTTAGAACTATTATCTGAAAAAAGCCTTTAAAAATCACAGTGTCTATAAACCAAATTAACATGCATTTGTCAACCAGTATAACATTGTACTTATGTGCTAACTAATAGAGAAATTACTTAAATAAATATAGCTTTTATAGGACACCAGATTTGGCTCAAAATCCAGATGATTCCCGGATGGAAGAGTGTTTTCTGTTACCTGTCTGTTGCCATCTAGTGGTTGTCCAGATTTTGCAGGACTAGCTTTCAGATATTTTTCATTTTTAGAAAAGACAATAAAAAAGTCTATTTTCCCCCTGCTCAAAATATTTGTGATAAAAGCTTTATACAAAGTGTCATTTTTAAAACTATGACAGCAGTCAGAATTTCACTTGATTGGAATCGTATTAACTTTACATTTCTATTAGTGGACCAGAGAAATGCTGTGGATATAATTTACTTGGAATTCAGTAAGACATTTGATAAAGTAGATCACAACCTACTACTTGATAAGATAGAAAAATGTGGGTTAGACAGCATCACCACCAGATGGATTTGTAGCTGGCTGACCGGCCATACTCAGCATATGGTCCTCAATGGAACTGCATCTACATGGAGGGAAGTGTGTAGTGGGGTGCCCCAGGGCTCTGTTCTGGGCCCAGTGCTCTTCAACATCTTCCTCAATGATTTAGATGAGGGAATAGATGGGGAGCTCATCAAATTTGCAGATGACACCAAGCTGGCAGGAATAGCCAACATTCCAGAAGATAGGCTTAAGATACAGGAGGATCTGGACAGACTTGAACACTGGGCACTATCTAACAAAATGAAATTCAATGGTGAAAAAAGTAAGGTTCTACATTTAGGCAAGAAGAATCAAACATAAGGTATAGTATAGGTGGTACCTTGCTCAATAGTAGTAACTGTGAGATGGATCTTGGAGTCCTAGTGGACAATCACTTAAATATGAGCCAGCAGTGTGCTGCAGTTGCCAAAAAAGTCAACACAGTGCTAGGCTGCATTAACAGAGGGATAGAATCAAGATCACGTGAAGTATTAATACCACTTTACAATGCCTTGGTAAGGCCACACTTGGAATACTGCATCCAGTTTTGGTCACAACGATATAAAAAAGATGTTGAGACTCTAGAAAGAGTACAGAGAAGAACAACAAAGATGATTAGGGGACTGGAGGCTAAAACATATAAGGAATGGTTGCTGGAATTGGGTATGTCTAGTTTGATGAAAAGAAGGACTAGGGGTGACATGATAGCAGTATTCCAATATCTCAGGGGCTGCCACAAAGAAGAGGGAGTCAAGCTATTCTCCAAAGCGCCTGAAGGTAGGACAAGAAACAATAGATGGAAACTAATCAAAGAGAGAAGCAACCTAAACTAAGGAGAAACTTCCTGACAGTTAGAACAATTAACCAGTGGAACAACCTGCCTCCAGAAGCGGTGAATGCTCCAACACTGGAAGTTTTTAAGAAGAGACTGGACAGCATTTGTCTGTAATGGTATAGGGTTTCCTGCCTGAACAGGGGATTGGACTAAATGACTTCAAGATCCCTTCCAACTTTTTTATTATTATTATTATTATTATTATTATTATTATTATTATTATTATTATTATTATTATTATTATTATTATTATTATTATTATTATTATTATTATTATTATTATTATTATTTGAAAGATTGGACAAAAATGCCACATTTAGGCTGAAAAGGCTCAGATGTTCCATGTCAATACTGTTAATTCACATACTGAAATCCACCGAGGATTGACAATGAAGACAAATGAAACCAATCTCCCATGAAATGAAACCCAAGCTCCCATTTGGATTTTAAACTGTGACTTACTTCCCAGAGGTGCTGAGTATTTCTGGCTCCTCCTGTTTGTACCTTTTCTGGCAGAAGGAGAACGCCCTGGAAAGGCCCAATCCAAGTGCCCTGTTGAATCCTCTGGGCTGCACAGATGCCATAGGCCAAGCCAGGAACAGTGCTGGTGCACAGACATACTTCTCGTGGCAGATCCCGAAGCCACTCTGGAATCTCAGGGGGAGGAGCTGCAGCTGCCGCACTACTAGTTCCCACCAGGCGGCGCAAGGAGTGCAGAGGTCCATGCATGGGACATTCTCCATTTCGGTTATCGGCACACATGTCACACCCTGTGGAGAAAAGAGAATGGCAAATGCTAAGTGCTGCTGGACTGTAGTTCTGATTTCGAGACTGGCAAATAAGAATTCATCCACTACATTTTAGATGCAAATATCATAGGAAATACATAGGAATAGATTTGTTGGGCGCTCTTGCTTGGAGAACTGATAAATAAAGCACATTGAAAGAGCTTGCCTAGACACCTTATCCCAAAATGTGACAGAGACTACTGTTCAAAACGGGCCTGGATTGAGCAGAGAGAAAAACAACTGAATCCAGGGCATGCATTCCCACAGATAATGGAGCATTTATCTAGGATGGCATACGGCAAGCAGGTGGCAGGTTGAGGCATAGACAAGTAGTATAGAAAGGTGTCCAAGGTCAGAAGCCTGCTGTGTTTAGATATGATACAAAAATATGACTGTCACTTGCTGCAACGGACGGGGTCAATTTCCACTCCTTTACTCAAAGAATAAAAATATTGGCGTAGCTTTGCATCTAAACCAATTTATATGAAAGGTAGTTCTATTGACTGGAATGAGATTTATTTTCTAGGAAGTGTACACTGGACAGCACGGCATCTTACTATCTTCCAACTGATTTTTGTGGATTAAACTGAAGAGATTTATTTTAACAAAGCATCCAACATCAAGGCCTGGTTCGCACATATAAATCAAGATTTATTGTGTCCATTACAATATACAAACCATGATTTATTTGGGACAAAGAAGCATCCAAATGAAAGCTATTCCACACCCTGGGTTACTTTAACAATGTTTGTATTATGTTTGAACTAAAATCTTGCATTATTCCTAATTATTCCTATTATATAATGCACCATTATTTGTATCCAAAGGTATGAAATTACATTTCTTCCCATTACTATTACGGTTATGATGCATTACAGTTAATAACTAATGAAGCATATGGCCACAAAACAAGGACTTTTTAATGTTGGAGTGGTTTTCAAAATACTGCCCCAAAAAGGCTAATGTTAAAGGTTTTTTTTTAAAACCATATGAAACCTTTTTTAATTCTCTCAGGTACTATATCCTCTAAAGCTGGTAGAACTATGGTTTTGCTAATTTATTATATTATGATTTTACTGTATGTGCTGTCATTATTATTCCTATTATTGATTTTATATTGGCTTTTCTAGAATAGATTTCTATTAATTTCAAGCTACACAAAGAGCTATGGTTATTGGATGTCTTGGAAAGCAACAAATTAATAATTTTATTAATACAAAATTCTGCTGCAACAAATGGGCAACATCTTTATGTTACATTAATTTTTTAACTGATAATCTTGAATAAAGAGAACTTTATAAGGTGTTTATTTTTCTATTTCAAGTCAATAGTTTCCACATTCTTTATATATTTTTAGTTCTGGATTTCCAAGAACATTGCTTATTCACAGAAATATATTTTGAAAATAAAATAAAAATGAACTTCTTTGATTTAACTACGGTCCCTAGCATATTTGGGACATTAAAACACAATGAAAGGTCTCAAATGCTGTTACAGAAATATATTCAAAAAGTAATGCTTGTTCTTTATTATTTACACAGCAATTCCTTTCACCCCAATAATTTTGCATCATATATATATCTTGCAGCTAAAAATAAAACAAAAATATTCACTAGTTGGTTGGGGATTTGGTGGTCTAAACCATAAATTTGGAATAAGTATACATCCTGGAACCACAAGTAATAAACCTAGTAGAATTGACATAGTTTTCTTTCCTCCTGTGTCAAATAAATTTTAGTCAAGTTTAATGTTTCAGAGAGCACAAAAATCCTTTCTATCCAACACGGTTATCAATTATATAACTAAAATCTAGCTTCTATTCTGCTGTTGCTAAACTAGTAGCTACTATTTACTTTTAAAACTATTTCCCAATAAATTGCTCCAAAGGTGAATATAAATTTCATTTTCTTTGCCATCATCTAGATCAGCTATCGACAACCTTGCATCTTTAAATCTGTCATATTACAATTCCATCATCCCCAGCCAACCTTGAGTAGCTGGGATGGTTGGGAATAAACTTGCACATTTGCAAAGATCCAGGTTAAGAAGCATATTATAGATCTAGAAAAACATACACATTATACATTGCAATTTGAATAATCCTATAAAAATATGTTATTTGAAAACAGTAGTAAGTTCATGGTTTTTTTTAAGGTCATTTTAGTTTCAAATCCATAAAATACTTGTGGCCTCAAGTTGAAAAGTATGAATGCAGAACCTTCTTATGTACACAAAAATTGGGGTGGAATGCTATGGATCCCAACAGAAAATTCATTTGAAGAGATTCATATTTTTCAGTCAATATATTTATGATCCAAGTACTGAGTCAGATCAGTATCAAGTGCGACATTGACCCCCAAGCTCTGAAATCATTCACACCTATCCACAGTGCCAACAAACCCTTGCAACATCTTTTTTCCCCCCATCATGTCCTCATCAGTGCTATCATCATGTTCCATTCCATGAGGGCCACAGGCTTGATTCATCCCCTCCTGCCAGCGTTGAAGAAGTGTTTTCTTCCTTCATTTGACATGGTCAAGGGCAGGGGTAGGCAACCTCGGCTCTTTTATGACTCATGGACTTCAACTCCCAGAATTCCTGAGTCAACATAGCTGAAGTCCATGAGTCATAAAAGAGCCGAGGTTGCCTACCTCTGGTCAAGGGCAAGGTCAAAGTGTGTAAAACTTGTTAGTCTTTGGAAGGAATTTAGGTATTGGGCAGATACTGTAAAGACAATAGGGAAAGGACAGGGTTCAGCAGTGGAGACAACTACTTCATTTGGGTAAGCGGATAGCAATTTAATTTGATGAGGAGGAAAAACCAGTGTGCTTACGAAAGAAGAATTCTTAATTCTAGAACTCAAAATATATTTTCGTGACTATTCTGTCCTTTCCTGCTTTAAACAGCAAAATTAAATGAAGTTATGGACTTTCATAAATTTCCATAACTGGGGCCCATGACTTCACAAAAAAAGCCTTGTTAAGATTTTAAACTACAGCTTGGTGGGTCTGACATCCTACATATCCTGCAGCCAACTGGAGGATGGGCGGGACAGGGAAAGATTAAATGATCAAGGTTGTAGATTGTTCCCATTCCAACCTAATTCTCATTTATATGTAATGTAGGAAAATTTATATAGGAAAAAAATATATGATGATACAAGCATTTAACTTTGCTATACCTAATAATTATCATTCCTCTTCACAAATAAGTTTCACGTACAACCTTCTTTTCAAGTTAAACTACTTGAAGTTAGTTTAATTGTTGCCTTTGATGAACTTTAAATCTATTTAAATTCCAGATCAAGAAAATATACTTCTATCCTCAAGGCCTCACACCATTGATACTTTAGGACAATTTTCCAATCCACATTGATCAAGGCTGTTCAAACTTTTATATTTAGACTCCTCTCCTTGGATGGAATATGAACAGGCAAAATAAATCCTGAAGCAAATGATACATAAAGCAGAAAGCAGATCTAGGGGAGACTCCAGCCTTCTTTTCACTAGTACACAACAGATATATTGTCACTGCTGCCTGCTACCTTACATAGCCAGAAACACTTAGCCATCAGAAGGCTTTCTCTCTTGCCCAATGCCATGTTCTCCTCTACACAGTATTGGATGGTAAATAAAGAAAAGTACCATTAGCTTTGCCCTTGTGGTTCCAGAAAGGAGGAAACTACAAAACTTGTTCTATTTATTGCTCCTTTTTCAGTGACATTTGAACCAGATTCATACTACCTCTAGTCAGTAGATATCCTGGTTACCCAGATTCAGCCTGTGCCAGGAGCTGCTCATACACAAACTATCTTTTGTTATTACAGTGCATGTAACTAGGTTTTGTGCAGCAGCATAGAAGATCCATTCGACCCAGATGGGTCAATATTCCTGCATGTAATTTCTGTAACTATAATTTATGTATATTTTAGATATTTTCACTTGTAATTTTAGTTATAACTTATATCAAGTATAAGCCTCACTTATAGAGATTAGTTTTATAAATGTATTATAACTTTGTGTTAAACTATTTTATTATCTACTAACAGGGCTTTTTTTTTGTCATAGAACGCCCAGAACGGAGTTCCGGCACCTTTTTTGGATGGAACCTTGTAGGGTAGGCAAGGCAGGTTGTATGACATGTGTGAGTTCCGGCACCTTTTTTAAATAAAAAATAAAAAAAGCACTGTCTACTAAGATAAACATTATTGACCAAGATAATAATTGCAATATATGCAAGTAAATATGTTCCCAAATGCAACAGAATTCAGAAGCAGAAGCAGGTTTTATTTTTTTTAAAGAAAAAGAGCAGACAACAGTCAGGCTTCATTCTCATTATTCAGTAATAATTCAAATAATTCAACTAGCTAACATTTCTCATTATTATTTTCATAGAACTGTTAATTCAAATACGACCTTCACTGTTTTGTAATAATTTTACATAAGATGTGACTTGGATTGAATTAGATTTTTTTATACAATTAAACAACGTTAACATGACCAAAAACAGGATAGAAACTTGGTATGTCTCAAGATATAGGATCCGTATGGTCAAGATTTCAGTTACATTTCAGTGCAGACCCTTGATTCTAGAATAATTTGTTCCCTGCTGACAATCTTTTAGATGTGTAACCTCCTCCCAGCTTCCTGATTATTAATGGCTCTCTTGGAGACACCATGTCTACCAAGCAGCTTCAATTAAATGAAGCCAAAGCATCTTTTTGTTTTTTACTCTAACCATACAGTTTTAGGATCAAACTCTTATATTTAACATATAGTATCACTCACATTTATGCACATGTGGTCTTCAAAACATCATATAAACATACAGTTCTGAGATGGTTATACATACTCGTTCTAAACACAGTTTTGGGAATTTTTTTCTGAAGTGCTGCCCAAAAAGTAAAGATCAGCATTACAAATTAGGGAGAACAAATTGTAGACTACATGCCAAGGATTATTTTCCATTGCTAGGAATAGATT